TGGGCTGTGGGTGGCTGTGGGCTGTGGGTGGCTGTGGGCTGTGGGGCGGTGGGGGCTCTGGGTGGCTGTGGGCTGTGGGCTCTGGGGTGGGAGCCCGCTGATCAGAACCAGCAGGACCACATCTCAGCTGGAAATGAAAGGTCTCAGCCTCGCACTTGCTCCCCCAGGGAGCCTAGTTGTCCCTGAAGTCTCCCAGGAGGGTTGCTTGTTCTCGAGGAACTGACATATGTTCCCAGGAGCTGGAGTTGTGTAAGGGCTGGTGCCAGGCAAGGCCGGGAGAGCAGGCCAGCCAAGCAGAAGCCAGAGCAAGTCCTGGGGCCGGAACAGTGCCTCAGGACAGGAGGGAGGCTCAGGTGCGGGGCAGGGACCAAGGATCCATCCCGGGAAGAAGTGCCCGATGGACCCAGTGCTTTGGCGAGCGAACCAGGCACACACACCCCTCCCCCGTGTGGTCTCCCAGTCGGGTGGGAGCGGGACTGGCCTCAGGAAGGTGACCTGTGGGTGTGATGGTGCCGGCAGCAGGGGCCCCTCAGGGGCAGGCGCACCTGCGGCAGGTCCAGCTCCTTCCTGCCCCTGGGCTGGCGGCAGGTCCCCTCATCCCACCAGATCCCTGGGGTCAGCTGCGGGGGCTTAGAGCCTTTAACCCTTTGTTAAGGAATCTGTACTCTTTATTTTTAAACTTTTTTTTTCTCTCCATTTTCATTACTTTGTATAACCATGAATTCTAGACTAAAAAATGAAATATTTTTGGTTTTTGTTAGAATTTCTCTGCAAAGATTGTCCGAAAATCCATATCCACGTTGCTCGCATAGACAAGAAGGACGTCCCGGAGGAACGCGACTTCATGAGGAGGTGGCTGCACGAACGGTTCGAAATAAAGGACAAGTGAGTGGCAGTGGCTCAGCCTTCAGAGGCCGTGCCTCACTGTGAGCCAGGCTCACAGTCCGAATTCCAGGGGGCGGACCAGGAAGCAGAAGGTCCCAAATGAGACAAGCGGCCCATTCCCCATTGGGCAGGGTCACACCTGGGGCGGGCACAGCTGGTTCATGTAGTCCCTCCCCGGTTCCTCATTGGCTGAGTGCTATTTGTCACCTGTTTCCTATAGGTCGCCCAGGTCTTGCTGCCTCCCATTGGTTATTTAAAAATTTGGGCTGGACCTTCTCTAGTGGCCTCCACCTCCCTTTGTCTGGGGGAGTCTTCCTGGGACACTGCTGTCAGCCACTTCAGCAGCCGCCTGGCCACATGCTGTTTCTTTTCTATGAAGATAAATCAGGCGTATTTCTTACAGCCTGATGTCAGCTCCCTAAACAGCTGGGCCGGACGTGGTGTGTCCCCTGAGCGCCTCCTGGGGTCAGCTCAGGGCTGGTCCAGCACGTCTGTGCGTCCCTGTGAGAGGGCCCCTCCGTTTTCCTCTGCTGTGTTTCCAGACGACTCCGTGGTCAGGTGTCAGTTTCCTCGGAGAAGGCACAGCCGGCGGTGAGCCTCCAGGGTCTGCCGCCCAGGCCGAGGGAGAGGCTGTGTGAGCAGCTGGAGCGATGCCGGCATTCCCTGCAAGGAGGGGCGGGGCATTTCCCGACCAAAATGTCTTTTGGTGCCTAAACAGTTTCTGGATTGACCTTGTGTTTGTCCATGCGAATAACATGGGACAGACAAGAGCGTTGAGCGTGGCGAGAGTTACCTGGAAGGTACAGGTGTGTTTGGGCACCTCTGGGTGAGGCCCGCGTAGAGAGGACATGGTGTCGGATGCCACACGTTTCTAAAGCGGGGACCACAGAGCTCTTCTTTAGAAAAAAAAAATTATATATATAGATATTGAATCAGAGAGGAAGGGGGGAAGAGAGAAACATCAGTGATGAGAGAGAATCATGGATCGGCTGCCTCCTGCACGCCCCCTGCTGGGGATCGAGCCCATAACCGGGGCTGTGGCCTGACTGGGAATCGAACCCGGGACCCTTCAGTGCACAGGCCGACGCTCTGTCCACTGGTCAAAACCAGCCAGGGCAGACTTCCCCTTTTTGTACTGTTGTGTTGGACATGTTTTATGTTGAGTATGTCCCACCATTAACACTTTGCATTTCTAAAATAAGATGGAGAACGAATTAACGATACGATTTTCCCTTTTGGCCACTTTTCTAATTCCATGGAATGAGACTCTGTGTGGCTTCTGGTGGGGGGCCTGTGGGAGGGAGGGAAGTTGGGGGAGATGGAGAAAACGGAGGGCGTACCCCCCAGGCCTGAGCCAGGGCCTGGCAACACGGAAGACCTCAAGGTTATAAAACAAAAGCATCCCCACCATGATGGAGGAATGGAATACACGTTGGGCTCTTTCCAGAGTCGGGGGCTGCAGCTAAACCCTGTTGCTCGGCCCCCTTCATCTACGAGCACCTGTGACTCCAGCCCACACCCGGGCCGAGAGGGACTCGTGGACGGGAGGCTGCAATGGCTGAAACTGAACGTGAACCTCTCCTGTCCCGGCCGCAGGTTACTGATCGAGTTCTATGACTCGCCGGATCCGGACAGAAGGAACCGGTTTCCCGGGGAAAGTGTCAGCTCTAAGCTGAGCCTCAGGAAGACGCTGCCGTCACTGCTGGTCCTGAGCGGCCTGACCGCGGGCATGCTGGCCACCGAGGCCGGGAGGAAGCTGTACGTGAAGACGTGGCTCTACGGGACCCTGCTCGGCTGCCTGTGGGTCAGTATCAAAGCGTAGACCCCAGGCCGGGGCGCTGCGTGGTCGTGGCTGTTCGTGAGTGTAGTCAGAGTGTAAATAAAGCTGTTGACTGAGTGTTGGGCGCAGTAGAACCTCTCACCAGAGCCGGGGTGCAGGTGATCTGGCAGATGCAGGGGCTCGGGCATGGGTGCTGGGCTCTGGGGGGGCGCGGGCTCGCTGCTGCTCTGGGCGCTGTCCAGAGCCAGGCCCGCTCAGGGCGGGGCTGTAGGGCTCGTCACTGGGCGTCACTCGGTGGCGGCACTCGTGAGCATTCGCAGTATGTTTCACTGATTGTGTTATTTCCAGTTTTTACAACTTGACTGGTCCAAACTCTGGTCACTAAAGTATTGAGAACCTTGCTGCTCCGTAACGTTTTTCTTCCTGCATAACTTCCTCCAAGTCAGTGAAGGGAAGTGGACTGAAGGACCGAGGGAGAGGCGGACGGGCAAGCCACGCCCTCTCGTGAGTACCTGCTTCCCGGCTGGTTTCACTTTATAGTTGCAAAGTAACTCATTTCTGACGTTGGTTGAAACAGCCTAATGTGCACACTGCACACCATACAAGGGTAGTGGACAGTACGAGAGTCGGCGCCGTTACGTGGTGGCCGGACTTGCACTGCCTGGCGCTCTGCAGACTCCAGCCGAGCTCTCCACACTGGCAGCACCTGTGCCATATGCACCCGCAAGCCTTAAGGCTCCTTCCTTCCTATTTAAGACGACCATGGCGCTCCCGGGGGACCCGCGTCCCAGTGCTCAGGGTGCTGGAGCCTCGTCTGCTGGCTGACCTGCCTGTGCCTTCTCCTGTCCTCTGGGTTTAGCGCATTTACCCCGCATCGCGTTGTCATCCCGTGGCGATCCTCTGTGTGGCCAGCCAGGTGCTCGTGGCTCCCACGGAGCTGCCAGGGAGCGTGTGTGGTGGGTCATCCCCCACTCCAGCCCTGCTGGGGGCATCGCGGTCCTGTCAGGACGTCCGCCCTCGAGCCAGTGAGGCCCAGGCGTCACCCATGGGCCTGCGTGGGCACGTCAGCCTCAGCGTGACAGGTCGCAGCCCTCTGTCCCCTCGACCAAGAGCTGCGTGTCAGGTACCTGGTCTCAGGGTTCCTGTGACGGACTCTTGATGTGCGACCTGCTCTGTTTCTGTGTCGTCGTCGAACGTGATGCCTGTTGGTCCCTAAGGCAGGGGTTCTGCTCCTGCTGGTGGGTTGGCCCGTGGCTGCCGCTGCGCCCACCGGCCCATCTCGAGGGACCGCTGACCACAGTGATCACGGGGAGTCCTGCCTGGTTCTCCAGAATGGGGGAGCCTCCTCGGGCTGCCCCGCGGGAGAGCGGGCCCTGGGCCTCACCTGGGTAGCAGGTGAACACGCTTTCACGCAGCCCCACGGGAGCGCTGGCCTGGGCGTGTCGGGTGTTGTGAAACCTCTGAAAGTGTTCTCAGACCAAATTGCCACCTTCTCTGACCTGTAAAGTGGGACTCGGCTCTGCCTTCGTTACCTGCTTTTTTAAAGTCTTAACGTTAGACCTGCTTCTGACCAGAGCAAACTGCTGTAGGTTGTGTAACTGCTGGCGATGTGATGGTTATGCTCTGAATCTAAATTCTAAGAAGCAATTTACAATTTAAGAATTGCATTGATTGTAATGGACTTTAAGAAGGCAAAGTGAACTGCGTCAGGTCACTTAAACATCGTGTTTTTATGACTATCCTTATATTCTTCTCACAAAGGGCCTGTAAAATATTTGTTAAAAAATTTGTATCAAAATGTTTGGAAAATTAGAAGTTTCTTTTTAACGTGTGTTGAAATGACCTGAATTATTATTTTCTAAAGTGAAGAGCCCGCCTCGACTTGGAAACCTCTTCACATAATATCACTCGCTTTGGTTCCTGTTGTTGATTTACCCCTCGGTTCGATGTCATGCTCTTATGTTCTTCAGAGATGGGTGTGTTTGGGTGAAAGTAAAAGAAAAAATAAACCTTCGCTGTCTCTCACGTGTGTGCTGTTTAACATTCCGCGACCCAAAAATTCCCCGCAGTCTTCCGTTCCGTGGAACAGGCTTCCCGCTGGCCCTGCCTCCTGAATGCATAAAACTATATATTTTTAAAGTGTCGAGCAAGTTTAAGGAAAAAGACATGAAAACACTCAGCTGTGAAGCAGTGTATTGGTAGGTGATATAGCTCCTTGCTTGACAACCTTCCTCACTACCGTCTCAATGAACGTGCCCAACGCGGTGGTGGCCCGTCCCCGACCAATCCCGGCGAGTCCACAGCAAGGATTCGCTCCTGTCTTCTTTCCCGGGTTCCCTTCCACTGGGCGTGTCACCCAGTCTCGAGGGCGTGAGTTTTACTCTTTCCTCTGCAGTGTTACGTGGCTTCAAGTCACATTCGCTGAATAGTCTGTCAATAAGATGGTCTGATTAGATGGACCATTCCAAAAATACGAGCGAAACGTATAGAAAACTTGCCCATCACATACGGACAATGCACAGTACCTGCCAGACACACCCAGATCACACCTGAGAAGGCGAGGGTCTGTCCTTGGGGGGACAGGTGTGTGGTCCAGGTACGGGTCGGCCTTGGCAGGGGCTGTTAGGCTTGGGGTGCTGGGCTGGGGAGCGGCCAGCGTGCACGGAGCGCCGTTAGGTGAGCTGGAGTCTGCGGGCACGCCGGGCCACGTCACTGACAGCACCGCCTCTCAAAACCGAGCTTCTCGTGGCTCAGACGGCGTCACCTGCACAGTCCCTTCCGCTCCCGAGTCCCACCTGTTGGGGGAGGGGGGCTGGGGGTCCCGGGGCTAGGCCGCTGCAGTGTGACTCCTCTGCCCTTTGCCAATGCAGTGACCTGGAGTCGGTTCCCAAGCTCTGTGCCTCAGTTTCCCTAATTGTAAAGGCAATGACAAGAGTGGCACCTACCCCATAGGGCTGTGGTGAGGATGGAGCAAGGTGTGCACCCGAGTGGAGCTGCCCCGTTCCAGAGGCTGGGTGTCTGTGAGGTTCTCAAAAGCGTCCCCTCCATTCTGCGTGAGACAGTGGCAGGACCCCTCCCCTCACACCCCCCCTCCCCCCCCCCCCCCCCCCGCCCCCCCTCCCACCCATGTCTTTCATTGTAAGTCAGCGCAAATCCTCGCCCATGTGGCCGCCAGCAGGCTCCGCCGGCACCGGCGCTGTCACTGTGCTTAGGTGTCTGGGCTGTCGGTTTCACTTGGCACGTGACGCTGTGACAGGGAATAAAGTCTATTGAATCCGTGCGAGCTCTGCATGTGTGCCTCGCCTGTGCGTGGTCGGGTGTTGTTGGTCTCTGCCTCTCCGCCCTCTGTTTCTAGAAGTTGAGATGAGTGAAGTACTTTATTTCATTTTAAATGTATTTTTATGGCTGATAGTATTACAGACACTTCCCGTCCCCCCCTTCCCCCTCCTCCCAGCTGTCCCCCTCTCCCCCAGGTCCAGGGGTGGGCAAACTTTTTGACTCGAGGGCCACAATGGGTTCTTAAACTGGACCGGAGGGCCGGAACAAAAGCATGGATGGAGTGTTTGTGTGAACTAATATAAATTCAAAGTAAATATCATTACATAAAAGGGTACGGTCTTTTTTTTTTTTTAGTTTTATTCATTTCAAACGGGCCGGATCCGCGGCCGTAGTTTGCCCACGGCTGCCCAGGTCTTTGCCTCCCTATCGCCTGCGTGGGCGGCCCATGTAGGTCTGTAAGTCCTTTGGTTCATCTCTTCTCCAGTAAAGGATTCCAGTCAGAACTAGCCCAGGGCGAGGCCCCTCCTGCTCGGTGTTGCCGACCCCCCCCCCCCCAGGTGCCACTTCCTGGTCCGGTTTATTACTGACGGTGGCTCCAGTCAAACATAAAACCAGCGATGGGGCCTCAACAGGGCTTGGCCTTGAGGCCGTGCATGCGCAAAAGGCCAGGCTGAGGGTGGGGCACCAGTTACGGGCCGTGGGTCGCTTCCGCCCGGACCGCAGGCTTTCCCGCACTGCGTTTCCGGGCACCTCCCAGCCCCGGCCTGATGCACAGGGACCCCGTCAGATTCCCTCCCCCACTCCAGGCAAGTCCACTCCCTGGTCCTCTCCCGCTGCCATCATCGGCTTCCGACAGCCCCTGGCCGCGGCGCGGGCACTGCCCAGCCCAGTTTGCCTCTTAGACAAGTGAGTGACCCCGCCTTCTCACCGGCACTGCCCTGGGGGTGGCTCAGTCCCAGGGCTCCAGGGCCCTTGAATTGTGAAATGTGCTGTAGGTGTCCGCTGCACAAGGTTTGTAAGAATTAGTCCAAAACAGAACGTGCAGCAGTTTATCATCTGGACATTGAGGACATCTGTGACAATAGGAATCTATTCTGCTCAGTAAGATATTGACATGATTCCACCTGTGTACGCGTCGTAGTGTGGCTGCTGGCAAAGGTAATTGCGTTGTGTCTGGCAGCACTGGGTGGGCAGTCGGCTTACAGATGTTGGGACAGACGTGCAGGTTATGTTATTACAGTCGCTTTATTGCCTTGGTGTCACCGTCCATGCAGCTGTAAGCCTACTTTTGCCCAACCCTGCGCATTTGTACTGCACAGACCTGGTCTCCCAGGTGGCAGGGCGGGCACACAGCATGGCTAGCCTCACTCAGGAGGTGCCAACCTAAGGCTGTACCTGTCCTGTCATCGCAACGCCGGGTTAAACATCCATGGGAGGCCTAAGTCAGTTGTTTTAACTGTGCAGTCTGAAGTCAGATTATTTGAAAACATAAACAGCTTTTAATAGTATTTATTCAACATTTAACACGTGGTAGGAAAGTTATGAGTTGATAGGATCATCCGCAACTGCTGGTGGAGGCAAGGCTGCACGGCCAGGAAACAGTACCTGACGCTGACTCAACCCGAGACCTGCTGGCTCCGGCCGGCGCACCGTGCTGTGCCTCACACTGCTCTGCGGGCTTCTTGTTGTTGTTGTTTTTTTGAAAATATATTTTATTGAGTTTTTTACAGAGAGGAAGGGAGAGG